TCCGGAGCCGTAATAATGGAGGACTCAAGATTATGTACGATCATCTAGCGTTGTGGTAAGAGGAGCGCGTTGTTTTTGACAATAGCACCGACGGACTATCGGCTCGTTTACGTATGTGTGATAAAAATGGTAATAAATCATGAATAGTGAATTGTTGTTGTTATGTTCGTCGTCAGCTGCATTCAACAAAATAAACATATTAAACGATGCAGTGTTATTCAAAATTAACAACAACAGCAAATTTTACTCACACTCAGCAAATCATGAGTGTATACGCATTTCAGCTATTATATGATTATATGACGGCAACAAAAACAAATTCTGCAATGAAAGAATACGTTTGGTTGAATGTGGAGAATTGTGCTTGAATTCTATGCGCAATACCACCACCACCAGTTATACAATGAAATGAATTGAGCACGTTTAGAGTCACAAGCCAAAAAATTTCAATTGAATACACTAAATTTATTCTCCGAATAAACTGAACTCGGCATCTGATGCTCGTTGAGCAAGCAGCTTAGCGAATGGAATTAATCTTCCGATTAACCTCNTTTTTTTCACTAAAATTTAATGGATATACTGTGCGTAGTTCAAGAAACCAGAAAGTTCACTGGATGGAATTTTGTTTGATGGCCTTCTTTTGTTACATATGAGTAATGAATAATGCGTGATTTGATCGTCACCTTAATTTTATTTAGAGCAATCACGAACAATTACGCGCAATTATGTGTCACTTTCACCTCTGCCACACTGCACTCAAACGCGAACGAAACATTGCACTCCACACACCAACCTCCTCACGTGAGGCAAAAACCAATTGATTTACTGAAAGTGAATACAAATGAATTTCTTGTCGCATTCAAATATGCTCTGAAAATATTATAATTCAATGACTAAGGGAACGAAAAAATTTTCTTAGAAAAGCAAAATTCTGCTTCCGCTGGAATAGCTGCAGTTCGAGTTCGTGCGACAATAGTGATCATGCGACTTTCAAAAGCTAACCCATTCATCAATATTTCGTAAAAATTGAAATCGTGTTTGAAATCGAACAGAACCGCTATCAAAACGCTATCAAAAAACCAGTCTTCCTGTCTGGGTAAGGTAAGCCTTTCAGCGAATGAACCTGGCAGCAAAGTATATCTAACATCTATTAATCTTCTTGTAATGCTCATGTTTCAGCGATCACTCAAAATCGCAACTTTTTTCATGACATAAAGTCAGCAATTTTTTCGGCCTATATAATCATTTCGCTTGAGCACAGCTCACGGCTATAGTAAATGTGGTGTACTCACTATGCAAAAACCTCCACATCATAAACCTTTCAGTCACAAAAAGTTTTGGATAAGGTTTCGTGCTACCTGCAATTCCTCACTAATCTTACGATGAGTTGAGAGAATAGCTAAAAGCAAGTGACCTCATCTAAATCAAATAAATGCATTTTATGTCAGGCGTGATAAACGAAATATAGTGGGATAAATGGGAGAATGGATAGGTTGTTGCGGATGAATGAGTTCTGAGAAGATATAATTTTTGATTTGCTTGAGGTTGTTCGACGATGGCACGAAAAATTCAGTGGATTCGAACGCAAAATCAAATTCTGGTCTTTATTCATATTTTTGAGTGTGATTTAGTTTGAACATACACATACAAAAAAAAAACCGAATTCAAGATAAGACATTCATCCATTCGAGCAACAATTAATGGAAATACCATTCAATTATAATTCTCCTCAGCTGTCAAACTCTATTTATTCAACAACACATAATTTCTCCTTTAAGGAGTCTTTTTGCATTTGTAATGGACTAAAAAAACACACATTAGATAGTGAGTGAATAGTTCGGAACTGGTACCTTAATGATGATGGATCAGGATATTTGGTGGCTGTGTGAGTGCGATGTATGATGAGCAAAATGGAATGTGATTTGATTGAAACCGGGCGGCGCAGATGAGATAGCGTTGAAAAAAATCAAACACGCTTTGTGGTAGGTGCGATATAAAATATTTGAGGATATCGTTTGCGTATTCGTTCAGAGCCGGCGGTGTACTCTATTAGTCAGTGAATACGTAGTGCCTTGGAAATGCGTGAAGCAAAGATTATCATCACAGTTGCGAGTGCTTTCAGTGCACTTGCCATTCTCGCTTGCGCTATCGTCATACCGTCACTGTATAGTACCATTAATGAGGTTCCGTTTTTTTGGTTGTTTTTCAATAAATATCATGCTAATCTCATCAAAACTGCCTATACAATGCCAGTTTTTACAGGTTTCAAGTTATGCATGCGTTAACCGCGTGAAAATTTTCATGAATTGTAGTGATCAGATCATACAGATCATATGAAATATTTAATTAATCCAAATATTTGCGTGGAAAGTGATAAGTTTCTAGGAAGCAGTTTGATACGGGTGTTTGGGAATTCGAAAGCTATCATATTTATCGATGTTTACCAACATCACTGGATGGAATTTGAATTGAGCTTGAAATTCGCTTTAGCAATGTCTTCAAAAAGGTCATTTTCAACTATTGTTGCTACATATTCGCATTATGAAGGGTAAATGTCAGGTTTATGAAAATGTGGTTGACGGTGTGCAGGTGTTCCGCGTTGAGACCGACACAGCATGGACCGAGATGATGGAAATTCAAGTAGCTGTCAGTCCGCCAAGTAGACCGCGTGAAAATCCATTCAACAGTATCTTCCGTAGGAAACGTCAAGATTTCTCGAGTCTACCTGATTTCTGTCATTGTGAGCCGATCAAAGTTGTTTGCCCACCAGGACCGCCTGGTCCACCTGGAGATCCAGGACCAGACGGAGGTAAGTTGTATGGATTTTATATGCAGTTCCTTACCAGTGACCATTGTTGGTGGAGTGTTTGAATGATAATGGATAACATCGACGATCAGATGAACTCATGACACTGCAAAGTGCTCTCCACCTGTTAGCAGATGATGCTTAGATTGCGAACAACTAGTAGCAGACCTTAATCGATTCGTCTATATGCATTCGAAATTTCAGAGAAGGGACCTCAAGGTCCACCAGGTGAAGATTACACTGGTACATTCACTCCAACCAATTGTCCACCTGCTGATACATCCTGCATTAAATGTCCGGCTGGTCCACCGGGACCACCGGGACCCCCCGGTGTCGAGGGTCCACCAGGACCTGATGGCAAGCCTGGACCTACAGGTCCACCGGGGAAAGATGGGCCGCCCGGGCCGCCAGGACCAGAAGGTGAGGCAGGCGAACGTGGACCCGATGGACCACCAGGACCTCCAGGACCGCCCGGAAAAGATGGACGACGCGGGAAGGGAATGCCAGGACCCAAGGGACCACCAGGACCGCCTGGTCCACCTGGCAAACCGGGTCCGAATGGAGAAAATGGAGTTGATGGGAAGCCTGGACCGGAGGGCCCGCCTGGTCCCGCTGGAAAACCAGGAGAACCTGGACCTCAGGGTGAGCCTGGAGCTCCGGGTTTACCGGGTGCTCCTGGGAATGATGCAGCCTATTGTCCTTGTCCTCCACGTTCAAATTCTTTTCTTAATCGTTTCACGTGATCAATGGAATGTTAACCTATGAACTGCTTCATTTACGACTTCCCGCTCCATCTGAAACTGACGTATTCATCAAATACCTTTCATGAGGTGTTATAGTGATAGAATTTGCTGAATTCCTTCTTGAACATTTCCATTGTGTGATTATTTTATAGTCATCTGTGGCTATTAACTGAATAAAACTTGAACAATGAATTTTTTTTNCAGATTCAAATTCCACTGACAACCCCACTGAATATTCATTTTTCCAATTACTTTGCCACTAATTATTCTTTTCATCAGGATACGCAGGTGGAACAAGTGACGACTGTAGTTGTGTTAAATGGAGTTCGATTATGTCATATGTCCCATTTGATAGGAACGGAAGGGTTTTATATATATTTGCAAGGTTTCAAAAAAAATTGTTTGATCCACAACAACGAGTGTGAGTAAGTGTTAACGAGTGTTCGTGGAAATGTGTGTGCATTCAAGAAATTATAGCCCTTAAAAAAGAGAAATGGCAAGGACAGGTTCTTGATACAACACAAAAGTGCGGCTGCATGGCATATATCAAACGACTAATTTGATAAAGTTGAACGATGTTTCTATCAATTTCTACGTTTTTCATACAAAAGTATCATTTTTTAAATTACAACACTGGGTTCCACTCTGCCGTCATCTGCACATACTTACACCTTAATGCTTAATTTATTTTATCTTTTCACTCACATCTTCTAATATTACAGATTTACTGTATATTCATTTTCTTTAATAATATATTGCTGTAAGATCAAAACCATTAGTAATTTTTGCACTGCACTATTCTTGCGATCTAGTAAACAGTAACAAAATGAGATGGTACTGAAACTGATAGAATGTGCTGAAATTCTTCAGGTAAAAATCATCAGAATCATGGGCTTAAGCGAGAAAATGTTCAGCGCGGAACGATGGTTTCGTCTATTTGTGACTGTCACATTTCTAAGATTTGCGATCAGCCAGCAGAGCAAACAAATTTTCTTCCATTTGATGCAATTTCTTTTGTAGGTGCACTTTCCGCGAAGCAAATAACGAGAAAAATTAAAATGATAAATTTGCAGTATACGAAAGTTGGCGAAAAAATCGTCAGTGAGTGTGACTAGCAAAAGACGCATAAAAATACCTATTGCGATAATTTGCAAAAACAATTTGAAACAATACAGTGTAACGACACCAACTAATTGAGGGTGTGTTGAATTGCACAGAAAATTTTTCGTGTGTTTTGTATAATACGAATGTACGAAAACAGCAGCTCGCATGCCATTAGCCGTGAATTAACTAATTTTTGACCAGCAATCGGTCATCGCAATGATATAGCGCATTGTATAGTTGATTGATGAATGCCTTTATCGGAAATGTTTGCTGAACCGATCATAGCAAGAAAATTGAAGCGATACTGATATGCTCATCAAATAATTATTCATTTCCTTATTGCTTTCCTATTCTTGAAACTCTCTTTGATTCGTTTGTAAGTACTCAACAAAACTACGAAAGAAAGCCTGAAATACACAAGACGTACTAAATTTATGATACAAATTCTAGAATGAAAGTCAATGAATCCAAAGCAGTTCGCAAATTATGATGATGTGATATGTTCAGTACATTGTTTCATTCGAATGATTCTCTTCAGGTTGCCAGTTTTTTCCCGATGCAAGCCATTGAAGAAATTATTACGTCCCACACTGTATGTCGTTAAATTTCCACTCTTCTTATGCTCCATAATCAACCACTGAGAATTAGAAAAGAAAATCAAAGTGCGTATGGATATTGCGGAACTGTAACCAATAAAAATAAACAAAAAACGCTTTCCGAAGGACAACATCAGGAAGAGTAGCAATAACTAGTTTTCAAGTGCAATGCATTGTTAAAAAATTTCTTTCCAATTACATGATGGTTGAAACTATTAACATAAAAAGTTGCGTTTCAGTACTATAAAAGGGTTTCGTAAGCAATGGCTTAGCACAGTCCTCTGTCACCATGACTGAGACTACAGTATTGACGGTGGTTGCTACCGGATGTAGTTTACTGGCTCTTTTAGCATGCATTATCACCATTCCGTCTCTTTACAGCACTATCAATGAGGTAAACTTATCAATTTGTTGCTGGCCGAATCCCTTACTTGTTAAGCTGTTCATAGTGTCTCGAATGTCNTAATCGAATGGCATTATTTCTGTATTTATGTGATATTATCAAGGCTTTTTTTGCATCCTATGTGATTCGAATAATGAGAGCGGTGCTGTTTTTCAGCTTCACGATCAGGTCATCGATAGTGTTGAGGTGTTCCGTGTGGAAACTGACTCAGCATGGAACGAAATGATGAATGTGCAAGTTAGCGTAACACCACCCAGCAAACCACGCGAAAATCCGTTCAGTTCCATTTTCCGTTCGAAAAGACAAAACTTCGCCGGTCTTCCAGCGTTTTGCCACTGCGAGCCAATCAAGCTGAAGTGTCCTCGTGGACCACCAGGACCTCGTGGTGATCCAGGACCAGATGGACGTAAGCCATTTCTAACATAAAGCTTTCCAAGTCATTTCTAAAAATTACACTTCACGACTGTGACAAACCCATTGCATCCATCATTTGAATTACATTTATTCCACTGATTTCTAATCCCGACCTTTATTACTAACTGAACTTAAGTTTTGTGCAATGACTCTAACAGTTTGAAGATTTTCACCTCCAGTATTACGGAAGCATCGGGAGAAATTGCCAGAAAGATTGAAGGAAAACACTCACAGTGCCCGTAACGAAAACCCTTTATGTCGGACAGCATGATAATAAAATCCCATTCATATTACAGCTCCCGGAGCACCTGGACCGAATGGAGGCGATGTTGTAATTATCGGCGGATCAACTTCATATTGTCCTGTTGACACATCATGCATCAAATGCCCTGCCGGACCTCCTGGACCCAAAGGACCCGACGGACCACCAGGACCACCAGGACCGGACGGAAGGCCAGGACCACCAGGAGCAAATGGACAAGGACCACCAGGCCCACCAGGACCACCCGGACCACCAGGCATGCCCGGAGCGCCAGGACCGAAGGGACCACGTGGACCAGAAGGCCCACCTGGCAAACCAGGACTGGGCGGCAAAGGAAAACGCGGCCCGAAGGGAGCACCCGGACCTGCAGGACCACAAGGAAAACCAGGACCAAAGGGACCAGATGGAGCACCAGGAAAACCTGGACCCGCAGGTGCACCAGGCAAAGCAGGCAAACCAGGAGCTCCTGGACCTGCTGGCAAACAGGGAGAGAAAGGAAAAGACGGAAAAGCTGGAGAGGATGGCCTCTACTGTCCTTGCCCTCCTCGCAGTGGCCACCCTTAATGATTATGATCCTTTTCGCAAGTAGTGTCCAAGAACGATAAACATGATTCAATAAAGATTTACAGCAGAACAAACAATTTATTTTGCCTACNTGTAATCGTGATCAAAGTCAATAGTCAGGTTCGCCTCAAGAGCAGATCTATCTAACCATTCAGTTCACTCATGTTTTTGCAATATTCTGATGCTGAACGAAACTGGCCATTGCAAAGGAATTATTAAAGCATTGTACAGTTCTCCAGAAACGTGATATTCTTTTCCATCCGGTCAGTATTGCATGTACTCGTTCAGTTCATACTTCATTCATATCCATGGCTGAAGCTCATCGTCGCAGTTCCTCGAAAATCAGAACTGATGAGAGCGTAGCCTGCAGAGAGTGCGCAAAAAATTCTACGCAAAGACAAGATTAACTGACGACAGCGAAATATTCTTTTTTATCACGACTGTTAGTAGATGGAATGTACAGAAATCAGAAATGTACAGACATCACATCACTTTCGCTGTCAAAACGAAAAAAGTTTTATCCAAAGACATGAAACCGTCAAAAACAGCAATGAATCTTGCTGAAGATGCACAAAAAACATTTGAAAACTGGTTTTTCTGCAAGATATGCCATAAAAGTACTTAGATGTATTGAGATGGGAGGAACTAAGGGTTCGAGAGGAATGGAAATTATTCGATGAGGGCGGTGTAAAAATTCCAGCAAGATTGTTAACGAATGAAGGGTAAACATTGCATTGCATATAAAAAGTTGACTTTGGATGCAATCCAGATGAGTCCCATCCTAGAATGAACGGCATCAAGGTGACTGCGTTCGTAGCCGTTGGCTGCAGTGCGTTTGCTGTTTTCACTTGCATCCTCATCGTGCCGTCTCTCTACAAGACCATCAATGAGGTTCTCACCTTCTTTTTCTCACCCGTTTCATTCGGCGCAATTGTAGCGCTCCGATTTTTTCGGTCCCACAAAACGAAGGATCAATCTCCTATAAATTACCTTCCTTTCCGTGAATGCTCGGCCCTGTGCAACTTCAAGTGTGTCATCCGTAAACGAATCGTCGACGGACAAATTAAAAATGATGCTACTTGCACTCTTCGAGGTGCAGAAAAAGATACGGACCTAAGATATTGTCATTAGGAAGCTGATTCCATCTTAAGGGTTAGCATTAGTTGGCAGAACGGAACACTCAGATGTATGTAACTAAAGTCATACAGTGATCGCATCTTGCACAGTTTGGAACTGTCGAGATTTTGGGTGCAATGAACGATGCTTCAGCTACACGATCAAGTGCTCGATAGTGTTGAGGTATTTCGCGTTGAGACAGATTCAGCATGGAACGAAATGATGACTGTCCAAGTGGGTGTAACACCACCCAGCAAACCACGTCAGAATCCGTTCAATTCCATTTTCCGTTCGAAAAGACAAAACTTCGCTGGTCTCCCAGCGTTTTGCCACTGTGAGCCAATCAAGCGGAAGTGTCCTCGTGGACCACCCGGGCCTCCTGGTGAACCAGGACCAGCAGGACGTAAGTAAATTTAGTATCTGAATGAAGTCAGTGGGTAGACTCTAAAATACCGTTCATAAAATTCAGCCATTGCGAAAACCTGAAGCATTTGCTGCTTAGTTTCTTGGATTACCTTATTAATGAGAGGTACCTCAAAACATAATCTGCCATTCATATTACAGCTCCCGGAAAAGAAGGACCGAAAGGAGGTGATATTGTATTTATCCGTGGAAAAGATTCATACTGCCCTGTCGATACATCATGCGTAAAGTGCCCACCTGGACCACCAGGCCCGAAGGGACCCGATGGACCACCAGGAACACCTGGACCGAATGGTGAACCAGGTCCACGTGGACCTGGTTCAGTCGGTCCAGGACCACCAGGTCCACCTGGACCTCCTGGAGAGCCAGGAGCGCCTGGCTCTAAAGGACCATCTGGACCACCTGGCCCCCCTGGTAAGCCCGGCAGAGCAGGTAAAGGGAGACGCGGTCCGAAAGGACCAACAGGACCGCCAGGACCACCAGGCAAACGAGGACCAAATGGTGAGAATGGATCGCCTGGAAGGGTTGGCGCTCCAGGTGAACCCGGAAAGCCCGGAAAAGCAGGATCACCTGGACAAAACGGAAGTTCAGGCTCAGGTGGTACCGGTGGAAAGTCTGGAAAAGATGGTCTCTACTGTCCTTGCCCTCCTCGTGCGAACGGACGGCGTTTTATCATGACTCATTAAGAACTTAAAAATTACCCCAACATTCCTTTCCGAAAGTAACATAGACCAATTTCTCATTTTTTTCGTCTTGTATTCTAAAGCTTAATCTTTCAATGATACATTTGTCAAATAAACTTGAACGTGGCCCAGCTGTTTCTCCATTCAATGAACTGACGCGCTCAACAAAATGAAAATGTCGTTGACATTCGAATGATGCATACATGCACCANAACTTCACTGAACATATGCATGTGCCTAATCCAGCAACAGGCTATAGGGTATCTAATTCAAACACTTCAAACAGTCAAAGCCACAAATAATTCGAAGTCAAAGCTTGCACTCTCACTTTCTTTCATCTTAATGTCATGACTCGAATCTGGTTTCATCATCAAAACACTTTTGCACAGAAATATTTCGTTTTTATTGATGCACGCAGTTGAATCACACCAACAAGTTTACAACACAAAAAATATCCTTAAGAGAAGAAAAAGAGCAATACAATAATGCAGATATAAGGACGAATCAACGAAATTTGCACCGCTTCTGTTACTGCTCACAGACTTTATTCGGGTGAGTGCATCTTCAACGAAGATGTCGTCAACATTTGTGAAATTGCCGAACGATGGAGTACATTTGATTTGCAGCACTGCACATATCAACTCGTATAAATCGACTAAATTTGTTGGTCCTTTCCTCATACCCGATCGAAATACTGAAATGGACATCGTTTAGAGATGCAAGAAGGACATTATTCTATTCATGATGTATAAGTCAATGACTTGAATCGTTCCACAATTGAACTACGCTCAAAGCAAACAGCATGTCATATCTGCCGTAATTTTTTTGCCATTAGAAAATCAAATCGAATGACGAAAGATTGCACGTACTCGGACCAAATGCGAGAAGGATGCCGAGCATGTCTGGATATTCGTTATTGTAGCCACTTAAACCCTTACGATGAACTGTTTCCGATGGTCGAGGAAGTTGTTTCTGCTCACTTGCCTCAAAGCATTCGAATTATGAATCACACGTGGAAGTGGTATTTCGAATTTATGATCTAAAACAGCTGCTGCAGTTGGAGAATTGGAGGTCAGCTGATGATCAATTTTAAGAGTGTTCCAAGTTGATTCAACGGAAGACGAACTGTGTAAATAGCGTATCCGGGTGTTGCGATAAGGACAAGATCAGGAATCACATCACATCTGTGATAAAAATACCACGAAGGAATATCACCGATATTCTTAGCCGTATAGTAAACCTTAACGTTTGGTATTGGTGACGAGTAGCGGAGTTGAGTGTATATCTGCAATCAGTCAGAGTTCTAACTGAATAAGTGAAACTGCGATCGAATAAGCACGCAGCATTTATAAGAACGGCACCGATACAACTACAAATACCTGATGTGTTCTACCCGGGAAGGGTATTATCTGCTTTAGAGCGCCGAATCCAACCGTAAGGTTTACTAATTCCATTGGAACAAAGTGATCCAAATAGCGAACGTTTTGTTGTGGTACATCAATGTAGCCATGTGGTGATACAACAAGCATGTTCAAATCAATTCGATCACGAACTTGTGACTGTAGTCGTTCGAGAACCTCAAAAATAGTTGTGATGATAAGGTGAGAATCTATTCTATCGTAAAGCAATTGATTTCATCATATGGCAAAATGCAGTATATCATTGATTCACCTGTGTGAATTTCTCGATCTCCTCTGATTTGCTGTAGCGAATGTTCTGTGGTCCAAAGCGTTCGATATGCTCTCGAATCTTGACATGATTTACCATCACCAAATCATGTGTCCTGTAATGGCACTTCTTCATTGCAACGTTCACGTCTTCGATTGGAATTAAATGACACATAATATGATCACATCGACACCGAACAGCAAATGAACCATTCTTTTGACGTTCAGAGAAATCATTCTTTAGTTCCCTTTATTGATCTCCGTCTGGCAACAATACTGCTGTCATCGAGCTTTAGGAAGCAGTCTTCATGGTGGTTCACTTGTGATAGATTTTGTGATTATAGCATGAAACTCAAAAAAACTCGTCCAAGAAGTCATTTTCAGGAACTTACTTAAGTTCAGCCTATCATACTGAAATTAAGCGCATCAAAGAGTTAAGCAGGAAAAAATTCACGTTATGTGCTGAAGTTGGTTGCTTACCTAGTTGCCTCGATTATACGTTTTACATTCACAATGCTATCAAGACCTGATTCATCGGGTGCTTCACAAATCGATGGTGAAGGTCTCCATCGGACCTGAAAATGTTATATTTGGAGAGATCATTTCCAACGAGCTTTGCTGACGACTCGTTCGTTATCTGTCACGAAAACGAGCGTATTTCATTGAAACGTCGAGACTCTCATATGAATGTGACCGCATTCCCAAGCAGTTTATTACGTAATGTGAGCAGCAGGCGATTTGAGTGAAATTCATTAGAAAATTTACATCTGACCGTAAGCGTTTTACCATTAAGCCTTTTCAGGTCTCAAGCTTGATTTTTCCTTGTCCATGCTTGAGACTATCATGAAAATGTATTGTTTGTATTCAATCTCAGCATTGCTAAGTGATTTGTGCATTGATTTCACTCACCTTACATTCAGGAAAAAAGAATAGCGCACTCGGTATTCCAGCTTTTTGTGCCGTCACATAAACTGGTTCATACTTCCACCAAATATCCCTGATGTAGTCTGATGGCGAATGAAACGCCGAGAAGATATTGCCTGTATCTTGATTGTATATTTGCTCACCGACTAATCCATGCACATGTGGGAGTAAGCCTTCAATATGGATCACAATCTCGTTTCACCAAACAGCTATTCAAGCAATGAAATATGAAACGAACAAAGCAAAGTCACTACCATTCAGAAGGCGTACTCATGTGACATAATCAATCAGTCAAGAAGGTTTCTCTAACAAATCGCCTCGCTTACCTGTCATTAGAGTCTGCCTATTCGGAATTGGTAAAGTAGGAAATTCAGGATACAAAAGAGTCGACCATACACCACTTGTTTGAAATGTTCTTAAGTTTACACAACAATTAATCAGCGAAATGGCGGCGAAAAAAAAANNNGCAGAACGGTTGTCGATAATATTCCATTCCCTCACAGCGATTCATTCGTATCTGTCTCAAAAATTCGACTAAATCAGAAGAAGCTCAAGCTGAGTGATTCAGTGTGCCAAATGGAAACTTGCAAATTTCATGAAGTAAGTGAACTAAATAACCTGAAGCCAGGTAGATGACTGAATTTATGATATTGGCTACCGGCAAGTCCTTCAGCAATAATGACGAGTAGCTTCTGCGAGGTAACGAGTGTTGAGTGAATGAGGCAAATGAGAAGCAATGCTTGATATGGCACTGAAGATGATGAAGTTCGATTGAACAGCATGTTTTGGGCATTCAATTGCATGACTTGATCACATATTGATCATGGTTTCATTTTGAAGCAGATCATAAATGCTGATTCTGCAATACTCTTATCGTTGCTTTTAATAGCTTTAAGTTTCAATCAACCGTGATAACGTTTGTCCAATAAGTGACTGGTGGTGACTCGCTACGACAATCACTATATCATCGCCAACTATGGCAAAAATGAAAAGTATTAAAAACATTTGCAATATTTGAAAATTGAAGCCGATTTTATACGCATCAATAGATTATAGACGCATACCGATACAAACGTACAGACGTATTCGAACAAAACGGTAAGTATGAAGTCGTCAATCGAAAAGCATAAAATTTAAGTGCTTCTTCAATCAACCCACTCACCCGTCGCTATCATTGCTCATTTGTCATAAGCAATCGCTTGAAAACTTCAATAAAATTCTCAACAACGCCAAAAACGTTCGTCTTCATAATTTATTTCATTTTTCTAATACCAGCGCATTCATCACAGTAAAACAGCTTCAATGCACATCCATCACATGAAAGGACGTCTTATTTGGGTAAGTTTATGGAGAAACTAATTGCTGAGCATAATTGATACGAGGATAGTGCATGAAAACGAATCTGCGCAAACGATTGTGTATTTGACAAGTAACATAGATCATTAGTGAAGCGGAACGCCGATTCGATTCAATTATTGTGCATTCGCTAGGTTTGTTTCATCTGAACATGTAACCTTAATTGCTTATGCAAATAACTACTTACAAAACGCATTCAGGCCGCAATTGATTAGTAATGTTGAATATTCATTATTGTTTCGTACATGGCATTAAGCGTTGTAATTACGCATAAGAACTCGCATTTCTGACTGATTCTTATCAATTTTTTATCGTGACAAATTGTTTTTCGGAAATACTTAATGCTTTTTGGAACCGAATTTCGAAAATTACTGATGGTTGTTATATTCTACGCAACCTACAAACGATGCAATTCGCGACCACTACGATGAAAGTCCTTGCGGTTTTAATAACACTGGAATAAATGTCATCTTCACTGCAGATCCGTTGAGGATAACAGCGATAAGTGGCTATAATAGTCAGATGAAATCAAAACTGCACAATGAGTGAGGGCTCTGAGTTGAGATTACGACATATCGCTAAACAGTGATGAGGATCAATCAAATCGAATATTCATATAGCCCTTTTATTAATGACCACAACAGCTAGTCATTGGATTAAGCACTCCTATCAACATATTACACTTGATATTACATCATCCTTCATTCACCACATGATTAATATTGTTGCTTGGTGAGTGTATAAACTCAATAACGGATATGTTTCTGAGATAATGGATGACTCTGTAAGAATGCTGCGTTCACGCTTATTGACAATATTTAGATTGATACATTCGCCCAGAGACGAACGCTGAATGATATGTTGATATGCACCTTAACGAAATCTCTCGTCAAAATGTCATGGCTAAGAGCTTTAAAAGTTTTGGGATTATTGGGATTTTTAAGCGAAAGCTCAGCGCTCATGATCGCGAGGAGCCTAATTTCTAAGCGCATCTTCCATCATATTATATATGATACATTTTTGATAAAACAAAAGCAAAATATAGCGTTTGTTATCAGCAGGACTTGACCACCTGAACAAGTTTGCCTAAAAAATACGTCTTATACGAAGAATAATAGGATTAGGATTAATTAAGAGAATCAAAACGATGAATATCATCATCACTTGAGAGAAGTGTTTGTGTGCTCGTATCGAATGGCATTCAAATATTACGCGATGTGTTAGCGTTATGCAACCATGATTTCGTGTTGGCTGCCTTTGTAGAAATATTATCGCAAATGATGTGTTGCATTAAGGAGTCTTTTGGGGATAATCTCTTTACGATTGTTCACACTCCTCAATGACCCACTCATTCGCTCAAGATAACCCAAACTCGAAGCATTCTACAGTTTCGTGTCCATTTCGCAACAAAAATGGCAACTTGATGGTTTTTTTTGCCTTTCCAGTCTGATTTGCTACTGAGAACTTCACAATAATCATCAAATGGTTCAGAATAATCAGACTTTCCACAAACGTCAAATCAGCATGATAACCGTTTGTTTTAGACTCATAAATTATATCGTATACATTACAAACAAAAACTAGTCGCCATGGCAACAGAGAAGCTCTTAAATTTTCACCGGGAAACGATATCAGCCATGTCTGAAAATGAAACGGTAATGACACTTCAAGATAAATGAAAGCCACCAAATAAAAGTTGCCTGAGTTCATCATCATGACTAACACGTCGATGTGTGTCGCCATAAACAGCAAAGATGACAACAGTTTGCTTAAAGATGTTGCAATTCGCATAATTAGTCTCACGTTGTGGTCAATTCTGAAATCAAATTCAATTTTGCCTTCTCACTTCAGTGACGCACTGATTTATGGATGAGTGAGTGAATGGATGTCTTCAAGCCATCCATCCATCCACAGTCCACAATGCATTATTCCTTTGACTATTATATTATCTGCTCTACTCAATGCTTTCACGCATACTAGTCTACCTCATTTTTTGTTCAGTATTCATCAAGCATTCTCATTTTAGCATCTTTACTTGTGTGTTGCAAGCAACGGGCAACTTCAGTGACCCCATAGCTGCTCTCCCGTCCCTAATATTTTCAGGGC